GCTCATTGTTTTTTAGGAAGATATGACAACATTTTCATATGCTCCTAAAACGTACTCGCTCCTTACGTATGGTAAAACAAGCATATTTCTGATTTTAGCCGAAATTATGTACCTTTAGCATTATGATTTAGCTTTTAAAGTAGTTAATTTTCAGCTATTTACATTCTTAATTAATGACGGCAAGTCAGCGGTAAAAAATACCTGAAGTAAATACAGCAAAATAAATATCTTGTATTTTTTCAAAATCGACAGTAGCTAATCGTGAGGAATTTGAACATCAAATTTGATATGTTGCTTTCTTTATTGACTAAGTCCATACCTCTCTTAATCACACATATTCGAACTTAGACTTTAATTAAATATGAAATACGACAAGGCTTTTTAAAACAATTAAAAAAGAAGTTCATGGTAGTAACTTATCGATAAACATAGTTAAAGTTATAAATCGACGTTTGCCAAGCACTTTCCTCCAAAACATTGTTATATTAAATTCCTTTCTTCCCACCCACGTCGTTCTCACTGTATTTTAGTCGTCAGCATTTGTTTTAAAACACGATGTATCAAACCTGAAGTTTATAATTGCGCCTTGATCTCGAACTGAAAGCGCAAGGCTTTTGTTGGTCAGAAACTTCTTTTTATTTCTGAATGAGACCAGAAAAAAASTTGCCAGTGAATCAAAACTTAAGGATCAATAACACAACGTCGAAGCAGTCGCTAGAAAATGTAAAGAGTGTATTGCAAGACACATAGCGTGCYATTTTATGCCACAACTAATAAATTATCTTTTCTTTAGTGCCATAGACTTAAAAAATTAAAAACAATAACAAGAAGATCGTGCTYTTTTCTTCAGAGTATTTTTTAGTAGATAACGRTATAACACGATACGCTATATGCGCGAGTAGATTATAAATTATCCAATAGATTCCACATAAGCAGGAAAGCTTCACAKAAATCTGTGCACTTCTTTYTACTTTTTAGTATCWCCGCTGTATGGAGCAGTAGACAGGCATTCTAGKAACTCACAGAGAAATATCGATCGGAGGCAAAGAAWATTSAATWTGCACACAACTCTGKTAGCWCGTTCWGAAACGGAGATGGACATGTTACCCCTACTARWKGAAKATCAKTGCCATSCTAGGCGGGTATAAGTCTAAATWAAAATAMATGCRTTCTAACGGTCATCGATAAAAAAATTGGAAASTCTGCAATTACAAAACTAGCTAAAATACGTAAAGRCCACCACATCACGGCATAARGAAAATTAGTAGTATTTTCTATTGCGAAAAACGCATCAGAGTACGTACGCTTAATGAGCCTCTTACCGGCGGAGGATTGAGTCATTCGAAATGAGCAGCCATAAAAGAATGCCAATAATACAATAAACTGGTTGTAAAGCAAGTACTTCTATTATTATACATCAAGTAAAATTAAAATCCCAGGGACCTCATGCAGATGTAGATGAGTACAGTCAGGATTCATTGTTCAAATTAAGAATTTAACGAATATGTCAATGAATTAATGAATATTGGGTAAGATAGAGGTGTGTGGAGGCAGCTGATTCTCTGATTTTTAATTCAATGTCGTTCAATATTGCAGTCTTCGCATGTTCATTTTGTGTCTTTCACTTCCTAGTATAATACGTGTTTATTGCAAAAGATGTCGTTATCAATGTAATACATATTTTGCTACTGATAGTTGATTGGTTTTTACTAGTGCATTCCTGATTAGAATAAAATAACATTTTTCAAAGGAACAGCTTACTTACCAAGCAGCGACGCAATATAATAATATATACATATATTATATTAACGCAGAATTAAATATAATTTAAGACAAACACATTTTCTGGTATGGAATAACTCCATTGGGATTACATTATCCTAATGTTATTGATATCTAAAATTAACCAAAATGGCATGTTTGTTTATCTCAATTAGCTAAAACCACCTTTTGGTGATTTAATGAAGCTTGGGAACTTCGAACTGTTACAAAGCACATCTAAAAACCCTTGAAATCTTTTGGGAAATACCCTGGTCCCTATTTAATAATTTACCCGCCAAAAAGGTGGCGATTTAGTGTTCAAAGTAAGTTGAGGTCATTAACAACCAATTGATTTCAACATAGGTACATTACATATTCCCATTGTTSAATATAATTCGTTTTTATCAAAWGAAGGATGTAATCCGATATATAAAAACGGAAACGGTGAGCTTATTAATGAGATTCGTAATTTTTTTTAAAATTCTGAAACATCCTTTTCCAAATCGTTTTCAAAAGAATAAATTCCCGACGAAATGAATCAAAACACCCACATTTGTAGACTTCAAGTCGCCGCTTGTTCGGATTTTCAGGGTCAGATCTTGGAGTGCGTGGGTCCAAATTGGCCCAGTTTTACAACGAATGGGTTAAAATATAGTGTTATTTATTTCCTACAACTTCGCCATCAGCGACTTTGGCAAACTTGTTTTTATTCTGGGATTTAGTGACTACGTCTTTACTATGTGGATAACATAATAAGTCTTCAAACATAATTCTTATTTTTCCATCGCACGTCGTTTACTTCTCTCTTAGTTGCAGTATTTTTGCTGCATTATGCAGTAACAGAATTATTGTAAGCAAAAATACTCAAGATCTTTAATTTATACGATTATCAGGTGGTTTTAGTACTGTGTAAGAACTGTAAAAGTGTTCTAATTGAATAGAGAACCACATCATGCATTCTGGACGATTTTAAAACTAGGCGTATTTTTAAACCATTTTCGTTCGCGTTGCTCAGACTTGGAAGCGATTTAGCGCTGTGTGCCCCTTTTAGGTACCATAACTCACTTCTGAATCACATTCTCTTTATGTCTCTACAACATGCACTTCTTTGCTGTTTTGTGCAGCAGGTTATCGACTCTCAAATCTTATCATGAATAGCCGTATTCAACTGCATTTCGTTTAAAACGTTTTTTGTTCCACTTTACTTTATTGTTTTTCCTTACTGCTTTGCTTTGCTACACGCAAAATGTGCTTCAAAACCTTCCATATTTAATTCACTGGAATTTCAGCTCACGCATACATTTATTAGTACTAGACAAACTTTTCTAATTCGAATTCTAATTTTGAAGCTCTTAATAAATTAAGAAAAGTAACTAAAAATTCGAAACTTTCCTGCACATTTAGTTTTTGAGAACACTTGTTGTAATTAACTAATGAACTTTTATAGTAAATTACGCGGTATTAAAGTTGTCTTCTATATTCGAAAAAATAAAAGGAAACTTAGACGAAATTGGCAAGCACCAGAGATCCTGCTATAAAGACCAAGTTAAACTCTGAATCTCAAAAAAATAAAAGACTGATCCAGCAACTAAAAGAAACTTTTGCAAGCACGTTCTTGGAAAATCTAACAGCGGATAAAAGTACRATCTACTCTGTGCAAAACTACGAAAAAACTGAGAAGGAACATCACTYATGTACCACCAATCCTGAAAGAAGACAACGAATATGTCAAAACTGATCAAAAAAAGCTGATACTTTCRTCACTCCGAATGAAGAGGCAATRGGCTCAAATGAGTGCYCTCCACAAATATAAARTAATTGGCACAAAACAATCAAAAAAGTTACCTCAAAAGTGCTCAAACTRGAGCTCAACCCGAAAAAATCACCAAGATACGATATCATCACTGGACTAGTGTTAAGGAAGTTACTTACCTRTGAAAGGACTAAAAATGTTACAAATGTTACTACTGTTGGTCAACGCAACATTTGGRCTGATGCATATCCCGACTCATTGGAAAATCGTAGAGCTGATAATGATTTTAAAGCCTGGAAAAACAGCTACAGAAATGAAATCCTATAGACCGATTTCCATGCAGCCTAATCATGTCAAAACTATTCCAAAAATATTCCTCAAACACCAATTATTTGAAAAAAATTGGTTGAAACCAATTATTGATTAAAAGAAACTAYTACCGAATCACCAGTTTGGTTTAGGCAGGAACCAAACATAACAATAGAACAAGTTTATCGTCTGATCGATATCATRGAAAAASCTCTGGAAGGAGAAGAGATCATGTTCAGTGATTTGAAGGCTTACTTTGCAAACTTAACAAATTCTTGCYAGTTCAATTTGTCAACTTGTTAAAATCTTACAATGTTCGTCGTGAATCACGAATCAGAGTATTCAGAWTTCAAAAATATCCGAGCTGAAGTATCTTAAAAAAGCAACAAACACAATATTCTAATCATTGGCCATACACTTTAAYTCTTTTCCMGGAAAACCAGTAAAAACATTCAGTTATTACAGGTTTCAATTTCCTGCGAATAATAACGAAATATTMAGTTACAGCGAYGTGGACATTTCAAACCTTTGCAAGCCAATCTAAAATATCTTCCTAAATTTTTCATTTGAAACTCAACAGAAGAAAAAGCAGTTTTAGGATTCCAATCACTATTCACTTTAAGAACACGAACAGAAACAGAAACAACGATAAAAAGGAACGATGAAGATCAAACTTTGTGGGTAACGTTTTAGAGGTTGCGAATTTCTCTTGAAACCTGATCAGAGAATGGTTTCTTGAATGTCGGGCAATGCCCATAAACATTAATTTCGAAAAGGAMATTTYGTGACGTATCATATSGAAAAGAGACATACGATTGGTTACCAATTTACATRAAAGCATGTAAAAATATTTTRAAAAATGAAATTGTTTTATTAGTTTGTTAAGTTTACAACTTATGAAAATGCTCGAGTAATACTCGGAGTTCTGTTCCCATGCGGAAAAAATASTTCGACCTAAATACATTTGGAAGGAYAACGTTCTGATTTCAGACGAATAGACTCGGGATTCTTATAAAAGTTGAAATAATTTTTACACGAAATAACAACCAAGTAAGCCGCTATATTTTTAAGGTAAAAYTTTGATATTAAATAAAGGCTTTTAATACACAGACGCCATTGAAATTAACTGAAAACCACGCATTTTTKATGTTTGCTCTCAAGCAATTTGTTTACGTACCGTTTTGTAGAACATGCAAGAACGACGGTCCTCRTCTTCTTCATTAGGACAGTCGGTGAAACCGTCGCAAAGGACATGATCGTCTATACAATGATATCGCCCTTGCCTGTCAGGTGAGGGACAGGCAAATCGCTCCATTCCATCTGGAGCCGGAGGACACTCTACAATAGAATAAAATAGAATTAATAAAAGATGCGATAAATCAGTTACTGTTAGTTTATTGTTTGTCTCTCTCAATTTTTTCTACTAAGTCGTTTCTATTCTGTGCAAGTAGACATTTTTCATGAATAATGTAGCGTGATGAGTGTTCAATTGGTCAGTATAATCATACAAATATATCTTAAAAGTTTATTCTTAATAAGAACAGAAATATGTGCAAATGTATCCTCACCTTAAATGTTATACACTTTTATTCAAATGTAGCGAATGTTCAATTACCGAAGATTATTTGAACATGAGAAAATACCTGGTAGATAATGTACTCAGGTGAAATCGGCCAGTGAGTGAGAAGATTTTCAAATCAGCTTCGGATATTGTTACTCGAACAAAAAAAAATAGAGATAAAAGTGTTGTGATAAGCATGCTGGGTCGGATATGTGTATTTCATGGCTATTGCGATTGCGGTAAACTAAAGCGAGAGTTAGAAATGTTTAGAAAATATTAAGGACAAACTGATAAAAGAAAAAAGGAAATAAACTAAAATCGAAATTGAAATTATATTAGATCAAAAAAACATATGGCATGACAATAATTAAATGTTGGTGGATTTCTCGTTGTTTCGCTTTGGTAGAACGATCCTGAATTTCTGAATAGGTTCTATTATTCGTGTAAGAATCTTCTTAGAAACTTGTCGATCATTTCTGTCCAGTTCTTTTTACCTAAAACATCTGAAAGCAATTCAAGCCATATGTTTGTCGTCTTTTATTCAACTATTTTTCTAAGAATAATTAGTTGAAAATTCCTGTATTTCCACCTTATACATACAGGGTGGTTCAAAATTGGCGTCATTCTTCTGGAGATGTTGTCTGGCGCTGTCATAGGAGTACAGAAAAAAGAGTAAAATAAATTAATTGTTATTAAAAACTGAGAAATTTCCAAAACACTATATGAGAAATACGGGAGCAATGTTTTTCAAAGTAATCTGCCTAATTAACATTGCGCAAATACCTGTTGCTTCGTAATTATTTAAAACTCCGGTAACCATGGAATTATACAGGGGGACAATAATATAGACAAGGATAAACGGTAAATTCAACAAGATTCGTTGACTGCGCAACGTACTTTCGAAATGTCAACCTGTTCTCATAACCTCGATAAATAATCCATACAACCCCAAACATTTGAATGGTTAACTCCAAACAAGCTAGTGCCTGTGTAATCTCCTTATTACCCACTCTTATCGAGCAGCTTCTCGTAGTCAGTTAATTAACTCCTGCTCCATTTGTATCTCCTTGTGCTGTGTGTATCGTACAAACGTAGGAATTTCAGAATTTTTCCTCGGTATTTATTTGGTGCTTGGGAAAGTGTCAGTGGTTGTGCAATGTTCTGAGTGCCCCTGGAAGGCCCTGGTTCGATTATGTCCAATACTTGTAATACATCGATTGTCGTCCACTATCTTCCTGGAACCATTCTCGTCGCCCTTTGTTAGCGTGAGTTCTTTCAGCTTCTGTTATGTTATTGTAGCATTTTCCCTGAACTAATCGCATATCAGCAAATTCGTGAAAGGAAGTTCAAAGTAAGTCACAGTTTCACAAATTATTGTTATTATTGACAAGGGTTATCCACCTGTAACTATCTGTTATTGACAGAAAACATTATTGCCGCTGTGATTTTTTATCAAAAAATTGTAGAAGAGAACTTTTTTGGTAT